ATCCGCCTCCATCTGGTGACAGATATCCACTTTCATTTGGTGACACACATCCATCATCATCTGGCGACAGGGGCATCCTCTTCTATTGATAAACAATCCCTTACATCTGGTGACAGACATCCACCTTCATTTGGTGACACACATCCGCCTTCATCTGGTGACAAACATCCACCTTCATCTGGTGACAGATATCCACTTTCATTTGGTGACACACATCCATCATCATCTGGCGACAGGGGCATCCTCTTCTATTGATAAGCAACCCCTTACATCTGGTGACAGACATCCACCTTCATTTGTTGACACACATTCATCATCATCTGGTGACAGGGGCATCCTCTTCTATTGATAATCAACCCCTACATCTGGTGACAGACATCCACCTTCATCTGGTGACAGACATCCACCTTCATCTGGTGACAAACATCCACCTTCATCTGGTGACAGACATCTACCTTCATTTGGTGACACACATCCATCATCATCTGGTGATAGGGGCATCCTCTTCTATTGATAATCAACCCCTACATCTGGTGACAGACATCCACCTTCATCTGGTGACAGACATCCACCTTCATCTGGTGATAGGGGCATCCTCTTCTATTGATAAGCAACCCCCTACATCTGGTGACAAACATCCACCTTCATCTGGTGACAGACATCCACCTTCATCTGGTGATAGGGGCATCCTCTTCTATTGATAAGCAACCCCCTACATCTGGTGACAGACATCCACCTTCATCTGGTGACAGGGGCATCCTCTTCTATTGATAATCAACCCCTACATCTGGTGACAGACATCCACCTTCATTTGGTGACACACATTCATCATCATCTGGTGATAGGGGCATCCTCTTCTATTGATAATCAACCCCCTACATCTGGTGACAGACATCCGCCTTCATTTGTTGACACACATTCATCATCATCTGGTGACAGGGGCATCCTCTTCTATTGATAATCAACCCCTACATCTGGTGACAGACATCCACCTTCATCTGGTGACAGACATCCACCTTCATCTGGTGACAAACATCCACCTTCATCTGGTGACAAACATCTACCTTCATCTGGTGATAGGGGCATCCTCTTCTATTGATAAGCAACCCCTACATCTGGTGACAGACATCCACCTTCATCTGGTGACAGACATCCACCTTCATCTGGTGATAGGGGCATCCTCTTCTATTGATAAGCAACCCCTACATCTGGTGACAGACATCCACCTTCATCTGGTGACAGACATCCACCTTCATCTGGTGACAGACATCCACCTTCATCTGGTGATAGGGGCATCCTCTTCTATTGATAAGCAACACCCTACATCTGGTGACAGACATCCACCTTCATCTGGTGACAGACATCCACCTTCATCTGGTGATAGAGGCGTCCTCTTCTATTGATAAGCAACCCCCTACATCTGGTGACAGACATCCACCTTCATTTGTTGACACACATTCATCATCATCTGGTGATAGGGGCATCCTCTTCTATTGATAAGCAACCCCCTACATCTGGTGACAGACATCCGCCTTCATCTGGTGACAGACATCCACCTTCATCTGGTGATAGGGGCATCCTCTTCTATTGATAAGCAACCCCCTACATCTGGTGACAGACATCCACCTTCATTTCTTGACACACATTCATCATCATCTGGTGACAGGGGCATCCTATTCTATTGATAATCAACCCCGTACATCTGGTGACAGACATCCACCTTCATCTGG